AAAAAACTGACCCAGACGAGCACCTCAAACGGGCCTCAAACATCCACACTGACTGCCACCCCTCAATCCAGTCCAAATACAGGGCAGATATGCGGATGCCCGGACGCGTCCACGTCGGATCCGATAGGCCTACCCCACCACAAATTGCATCAAATCCACCTCCTCGACCTACCGAATCCATTTTCTCTCTCACCTCTTCCTCCTCCGTGCCGGACCTTTCATAGCTACGCCACCACCCTTGCTCCACAGTCGTTTCGAGCCACAGTGCCGCCAGCACCGACACAACATTCCTCTCTATCGTGTTCGCCGCCGCAGACATTGTTGCCGGCCCGGATGCCACCATGGTATGTTTGGCAACTATTCGAGCTACCCCTTGCGCTCTATGTGTTCGATACATTGTCCGACACAGTTTTTTGTGTTCATTCGCAGGGAAAGTGATGGACTCTGATGCTTCGTCGGACGAGGAGTATGGACCGACGGAACTTGATAAAATGATTGAAGATAAGTTCTTCGATTCATCGGATTCAGACGAAGAAGTAGGCATGAGCATGCAAGAGGAAATGGACCGGCAGGTGGAGCATATTGTCAACTTAAAGGGCTCGATCAAAGGGAGAAGAGTGACCTGAGGGTCTCCGGAGCACGGCTACTGCACATGGACTACTTTGCTCCGGAACCAACTTTTTCAGATGATGCATGGTTTCATCGTCGTTTTCTTATGCGCAAACCATTGTTTTTTGCGCGTTGTGGAGGGAGTAGGGGCACACAATGACTACTTCAAACTCACAAGGGATTGTTGCGGCCAACTTTCTTTCTCTGCTAAGCAGAAATGCACGGCTGCTCTGAGGATGCTTGCACTTGGTACTACCGCTGATGCCATTGGTGAGATGGTCCGGATGGAGGAGAGTACATGCTTGAATACTACTGTTAGGTTTGTCCGCGCCGTGGTGCAGGTGTTTGGAGCAGAGTATCTAAGAGAACCAAATGTGCAGGACACATAATAGTTGTTGGCTATTGGAGAAGGGTTTCCAACACTGCTCGGATCAATTGATTGCATGCATTGGTAATGAAAAAACTACCCAAAGGTTTACGGGGAATATATTAAGGTCACACCATAGAGGCCACCATCATACTGGAAGCAGCGACATCACATGACTTATGGTATTGGCATGCTTTCTTTGGAATGTCGGGTTCTCACAACGACATCAACATGCTTCAACGGATCTCCTGTGTTCAGGAGGCTTTGTAATGGAGAATCACCGCCGTGCAACTGCACGTCAATGGCAACATGGGATACTATCTTGCCTATGACATCTATCCTCAGTGGGCGGCATTTGTGAAGACCATATCTGAACCAAAAGGCAACAAACAAAGCCACTTTGCAACAATGTAGGAAGCAACTAGGAAGGATGTGGAGAGGGCATTCGGAGTGCTTCAAGCTCGTTGGGGAATTATTTGTGAAACTGCAATGATGTGGGAATCAAAAACTTTGTGGCAGCTAATAACATGTTGTATTATTTTGCACAATACGATTGTCGAGAATGAAGGTGATGGCGTAGCCCAAACCAATGATTTTGAAGCGCCTGAAGAACAAGTTCAAATCCCCAAAAATCAAGATGCAAAGCAACTTATGAACTTTCTGCAGATGCATCAAAATCTTTGAGATCATCAGTGCACACGTAGCTACTCAGCGATCTTGTGGAGCATATGTGAACGCACAATGGAAACGAAAGAGCTAATGTTTGAGTTGTGCACTTAAAAAATTATGTAAGAACTACATATTTTGCTACCAATATTTGTTATTTACGTGCGACATTGGCGTGTATGATGGATGTGCATGGATTTGAAAGTCCAGATTTGAGGTATGTAACTGCTAGGCACAACATATGAGGCGGTCCGGCTACATCCGCTGGCATGCGCGGGCGTGTTCACGAACATATAGAGGGGTGGATTTGCCTGTTCGGCTGTAGATGTTCTAAAAATCCCAAACCTAAACTACTAGCTAGAGCACCGAGATTCGCCTCTTCGTCATCAATCGCCAGAGCGCACGCCTGTCGATGGAGGGGGTGAGGTGGGCGACCACACATGGCTCTCAAATCACCACATATTAGAGGGTGTTTGATTGAGTTTATTTTTTTTTACTTTTGCACTTGGCTTATAAACAAAAAAAATACCCCCTTCATTTCTTTTTAGTCTGCATATACAATTTGTCTTAAGTTAAACTTTATAAAGTTTGACCAACTTTATAACAAAGTAATGTCAATATTAACAATACGAAGTCAATATCATTAGATGCATCATGAAATAAATTTTCAAGCTATATAATTTTGTAGATGTTGATATTTTTAAGATAAATTTGGTCAAATTTTGCTTAGTTTGACTTTAAACAAATTTTATATGCGAAGTAAAAAGAAACATAGGAACTATTTTATGGGCTCGTGGCTTCGGCTTTTGCCAGAATCCAGAGACAATGAGAACTTTGTCCTAGTCGTACATACGTGACGACCCTGTATTTTTTTCCCCGGATAACGTATTTAAACCTGATATACTGTTGGCTTGTCGCTCTAAACACACGTGAACGAATCAGAACACTCAGATACCCAATCTTCTCCTAGTGACAAGGAAAATATGATATCAACCCTGAAGCTGGGGCTGTGAGCGGTAACCAAAATCAAGCAGTTCACCTCGCCTCGCTGGAGAAGGACCCGCCCTCCTCCTCCCTCTTTCGCAGTATAAATAGACCCCTCGAGCTCCCCTGCAACACCCAGCAAACCAAGCTCGGTGAGTGAGTGAGCACGCAAACCAGTGTTTGTAGCCAGCAGCCGCAATGGCTGGGAACATGCTAGCCAACTATGTCCAAGTCTACGTTATGCTGCCGGTAAGCTCCATTCTTCCCGCTAAGCACCATGGCACGGACAAACCATTGCAAGGATCTAGAAACTCAGATTATCGTGCATCTGATACCCAACTTATCAACAAGATCTGAGACCTCAGATGCAGTATTTTGCACTAACCTTGTCTTCACTTCCACTGTGAGAATAGCTGGACGTCGTGAGCGTCGACAACAAGTTCGAGAAGGGCGATGAGACCAGGGCGCAGCTGAAGAAGCTGACGGAGGCCGGCGTGGACGGCGTCATGATAGACGTCTGGTGGGGGCTGGTGGAGGGCAAGGGCCCCAAGGCGTACGACTGGAGCGCCTACAAGCAGGTCTTCGACCTGGTGCACGAGGCCGGGCTCAAGCTGCAGGCCATCATGTCGTTCCACCAGTGCGGTGGCAACGTCGGCGACATCGTCAACATCCCCATCCCACAGTGGGTGCGCGACGTCGGCGCCACCGACCCGGACATTTTCTACACCAACCGCGGCGGGACGAGGAACATCGAGTACCTCACCCTTGGAGTGGATGACCAGCCTCTCTTCCATGGAAGAACAGCCGTCCAGGTTAGCTAAAGCTAAATCGCCATTCCAGTTCTCCTGCATATATGGTGATTCAGATGACTGAGATGAGTCTTGGCAACAGCATAGTTATGATTTTGATAGGCCCAGTGTGTCTTTGTGGCTGCGACAGATGTATGCTGATTACATGACGAGCTTCAGGGAAAACATGAAAAAGTTCTTGGATGCCGGTACCATCGTGGACATTGAAGTGGGACTTGGCCCGGCTGGAGAGATGAGGTACCCATCCTATCCTCAGAGCCAGGGATGGGTCTTCCCGGGCGTCGGAGAATTCATCGTGAGTGTTTTTTTTTGTTGCCAAATACTCTTCTGTCCTTACAAAATACTCTTATACTTCCTCCGTCCCAAAATTCTTGTCTTAAATTTGCCTAGATACGGATGTATCTAATACTAAAACGTGACTTGATACATCCATATTTAGACAAATCTAAGACAAGAATTTTGGGACGGAGGGAGTACATGTAACATGTGATGACCAAAGGCAGTTTAATCTTTGTCCAAGAGACGATTTGCACTGAAAAAGGTTCTCCCAGTGGTAAAGTGATTCTGATCATAAGCGATGTTGGATAAAATGGCAATTCCAAATTATTACTAACTTATGGCTTTTGAGAGATCATGCTCTCTTTTTTAGCAAAGTATCAGAAGCAAACATAAGACCATGGCCCCACAATTAAACGGTAAAAGCAGTGGACATCAAATGTACATCCAACTAAACAGACAGGCATGAATTAAAACGGATGCAAAAATAATACCATAACAAGTAAAGACAAAAGGGCTCCAATTAACTGTTTTAACTAAAACAATAATAATCTGCAGTGTTATGACAAGTACCTGGAAGCAGACTTCAAAGCAGCAGCGGCAAAGGCTGGCCATCCTGAGTGGGAATTGCCAGACGATGCTGGAGAGTACAACGACACTCCCGAGAAAACCCAATTCTTCAAGGACAACGGAACATACCTCACCGAGAAGGGGAAGTTTTTCCTGTCATGGTACTCCAACAAACTGATCAAGCACGGTGACAAGGTCTTGGACGAAGCAAACAAGGTCTTCTTGGGATGCAGGGTGCAGCTGGCAATAAAAGTAAGTACCATCCTACAGATCTCAGTATATTATAGTAGAAAAGATTGCAAAAATCATGATTCAGTTGAGAAGTTGTGCCTGATAAACAACAAAAAAATGCACAAATTCACCCTAACATAGTGTATAAGCTTACGGAAGGAGGAAGTATATACAACTCACATTGCTTAATCTAGAATGTAATGAGACATGATCCAATGTTTGGTTGCAGATCTCTGGCATTCACTGGTGGTACAGGGTTCCAAACCATGCAGCCGAGCTCACAGCCGGGTACTACAACTTAGATGACAGAGACGGCTACAGAACCATAGCACGCATGCTCACAAGGCATCATGCTAGCATGAACTTCACTTGTGCAGAGATGAGGGACTCGGAGCAAAGCGAAGAGGCGAAGAGCGCACCAGAAGAACTAGTCCAACAGGTAACCACAGCATTAGCAACCGCCCAGTATTTTATGGCTCAGGAATTTACAATTATCTTTTACGGAAACACTGAAGCACTTCTCATCAAAAACCTTAGGTGCTGAGTGCTGGATGGAGAGAGGGTTTACATGTGGCGTGCGAAAACGCACTCGGTCGATTTGATGCCACTGCTTACAACACAATACTCAGGAACGCGAGACCGAAAGGCATCAACAAGAATGGCCCTCCTGAGCACAAACTGTTTGGGTTCACCTACCTCCGGTTATCGAATGAGCTACTGGAGGGACAGAACTATGCCACTTTCCAAACTTTTGTTGAGAAAATGCATGCTAACCTGGTTAGTGCCACCCATGCATGTTTAAAATAAAACAGATGTATCATTTGCAAGCCTATTTTAAATAATCTATAACTCTTTGCAGGGTCATGACCCAAGTGTTGATCCAGTGGCGCCTTTGGAAAGATCAAAGCCAGAAATGCCAATTGAAATGATCCTGAAAGCAGCGCAGCCAAAACTGGAGCCATTCCCCTTTGATAAGAACACCGACCTGCCAGTTAAAGATCACACTGATGTCGGGGATGAGGTGCTCCTTGCCCCTGTGTAGAAATCTTTCTCTACCTTCATAAAATAATGTGCATCACTTATGCAGTCTACGAGAGGGTCAAGAGGCACTTGTGAGAATTGAGGTGCGCAGGAAATAAGCCGCCGAGGATAAATAAACTGTGTGCTACAATGTTATAGCCATATAGTGTGGCAATACTATTGTACTGGTAACATGAGGTTGTATGCTTTTCCGATGAGCTGCAGTTCATAGGAACTTCCGCCCCACTTTGCTGTGTGTATTCGAGTGAATAAATAAAACAGTTTGTGCTTGTAACTTAATGATCGTGAAGTTTTTAGCCGTATAAATGGAACTGCCGTCCAGGCTTCTGCTGTTAAGCGTTCAGACTATTTTACATCCACTGAGTGGTCACTACAAATAGAAAGCGCGAGCTGTGAAACGGTAATTATTCACAAAAGGAATTAAGATAAGTATCCAGCTAAACAAACTGATATTCAATGATGTCATGAGAGCCTAAAATCAGAGTGGTGAAGCGAAGAGCGCCTAAATGAAAAATGATTTGGACAATGATCGGTTTCTAAGTTTTACTCTGATGCAGAGTAACAATGGCCCATAGCTACAGTTCATGTGATGGTGCAGTAAAAATAGAGAATCGTAGTGCAGTAGTTAACAGAACACAATGGAAATCTGTCAGATAACTGAAAAAATAGGTTGTTTCCAACCAGCGGAGACCATCAAACATGTCTCCAATGGGCTATGGGCATACCATGTCTGTGGATCGTCATGTGCTGTGCTCCCTAATAAGAAGGCAGTGATGAGAAGACTCGGCATAAAAGATAAGACCGCGGTCTCAAACTACGAGGTTAAAGCTGCAACAGATGTCCCTGGACTCTAGGAAAGTAACATCAAAGCGGAAACCCATGAATACACACAAGACACATTCCTTCCATGCATATCCTATGTTCTTATACAGTTTAATCTACTCTAACTGCAGTTATTGCTAGTTATTTTATTTTTTGTAAAGCCGTTATTGCTAGTTATCTCTTCTATGATTCAGCCACATCAACTTTGTTGTTTTCAACCTTAATTTTGATGTGTATTGAGTGGTAGGGCATTTGGAATGCCCAATTTTTTGGTAGGGTGAGTTGAGGCATAAACCAAACGGACCGCAGATCTTCTTCATTTGAAAGCCACACCGTTTAGATTCTTCAAAGCTAACTTTCCTGTATACTTTATGAATTCTACTCAATGAAAAAATCCCCTCAAAACTAATTTTCCTGTATACTTTATGGGTTCTACTCCAATCAATTTCAGTCTTTTTATAGTTCATCTGCAGCAACCCGCGGGTTAATCTAGTTAGGTGTATACAAAGACTGAAGAGGCAACCAAATACAGCATTTCTTTGAATCTTGGAAAGGAATCAACAAAATGAGAGTTCCTAGGAGATTACTACTTGCTGTTAAGTTATCCGTGACTTTCTCATGCTTCTGTTTCAATCAACTGGCCAAGAAAGTGCGTAGGAGAAGTCCTCAAATTCGCCGGCAATGAGATGGAAACACGCGCTCAGGCAAACTCTGTTTGACTGAAGTAAGAATTTAGCTCACCAAGGGCGCTCGCTGAGGAATGAGGACGAAGTTGTCGGGCGGAGAGGCTCGGGTAAGGGTGTCCGAAGATCGTAATCGCGCCGCGAGAACGAGCTCCCGACGACGGCGACGCGTGCAAATAGTCACCGGATCAGATCCCGTGGGAATGGAACTGCGGAAGGAATGGGCCGGCGCCGCACCTGCGGGCGAGAGAGAGGCTCGTCTGCTGGATGCCGAGGGGGCGCGACCTTGCGCGTGTGCTTAATGAGGACGCGGTGTGGCGGAGGGAAAGATGAGAGATCGCCGTCGGCCGCGGCGAGCCCCCATTGATGGCGGGTCAGAGGGTTTGATTTTAGGCGCTTCCGCAGTGAGAAATACCAAGGTGAACCAGGATGCCAGCGCACCCTATATGCGGATTTTTTTAGTAATTATAAAAAAGCCCAAAAATTAAGTTAAATATGATCAATTATTGTACTCGTACACATTATTTTGGGCAGAAAAAAACAAATCAAAATGCTATATACAAGTACTGTTTATGCTTCTTTGTCCTCATAATTTTTTTCCTTAAAGTCAACAGGAATAATTCCTTGGTCAAATATTTTATATGGTACAATACTTAATCATATTTGATTCTATAAAAATGTTAAAATTGTTTGACTTTTTATATAATTACTAAAAAATGTGCAGATTGCAGTGCTCTTTCGACCTGAGGTTGGCACCATACGATGAACTGAATAGTAGAATCTAATAGCAAAAAATAAATAATTCTAAATTTTTGGTTAACATACATTATCCATTCTACCTGACAAAGAAAATTGTCGTATTCTTGACAAAGAAAATCGGCCCTCCAAATTGGTTCAAACATGGATTTTTTTTATAGTTTTGTTTTGGTGTTTTTTTTAGAATACCACAATTGTCATTTCTTCGTTAAACTTCACACGTGAGTAGAACACGCAGTCATGTATGTTACAACCAAATTTGCCAACATTCATGGACTTCCGTGGTAGAATCTACCATTCAAGTGTATTGCATTTTCATGAGCGTGGTTTGTGAAAAAGTTTATCCTCAACCTCAACCTCGAGCACAAAAGGACCTGTCAGAAAAAAAAAGAATCTCAGTCACACTTAGCATGTGTTGCAGCCTTGAAGTATCAAAAGTTCTCGAACTTAGATGGTGCCCTTAAATGGTATAACAAACACCAGACTGAAATGTTTACTTCAGACGGAAGTTTCATTCAATTTGTTGCGCAAGCTAGTGATCCATTTTTTTCATAGCCAGGATCCTTTCTCAGGATGAAGGAGTGAGTAATTATCATTAAGTTTCAGTGACCCAAGCTGCGAGTGCGAGTGCATAACAAATTATGAGTTATCTCTTGCTTAACTTTGAAATGGGTAAGAGAACGAATCTTCTTCCATCTTCAAACGGTAAAAACCAAGATGTGTACATGTGCTTACGGGATGAGCTTAATAAATTCTTGGATACTAGATAGAATAATGTCAGTAGTAATTTAGAATTATTTTAAAAAATTACCATTTTTATTTTATTGTTCACAAATGGTGCGCCTGGACCCACATTTCAAAAAACCATGCTCTTGATAGCCACCGCTAGTCTGCTCTGCTTCCAATTGTGTGACTAACACTGTACCGAACATTTCGTAAAAGTTTTTTTTATCACATATTGCATATTCATTCACTCCTTCCTGCCAATGTTGATCGGGTTGACAAATCTCTTACCTTACTGCGCCCTAATAGGCCATAACTTCATGACTACCTAGACAACTGAGGTTGGTGTTGAATCCATTGCAAGCCCTAAGACCCTAAGCTTTCCCATAGGATGCTGGCGAAAAGAATACCAATGACATTGGCACAGGTGTTGGCGCCAATCTTTGGAAGTCGGGTGAGGAATGATCTCTCTAGCTCACATTGTGATATATTAGATTGATGCAAGTCCGCAACATCGCCGATGAAATAGGGCGAGAAACATAGATGAGATCGACGCAAATCTGCAAAAAAGACTGCGGCTCTAGAGTTGTGTTGTGGTAAACTTACTTTTTGTAGTCTTTTCATGAGAAAACAACAATTGAATATAGGGAAAATATGTTAAAACAACTTATAACTCAATAAAACTTGGTTGGACTAATGAGTTACTATAATCCATCACAATGATTAATGCAGTGATGTGAAGTGAAATTTCAAATGCTATGCTGATAAAGAAATCGGCCATGGTGTTTGCTGGGAAAAGAAATTATCCAGATATAACAAAGTGACAAAACAAGGAAATCTTACTGGCCAACTGAAGCCCAAGCACCGTCGACACATGTCTGTCACTCATTGGCCAGGGCGCAATCCAAATGGAGGTCAGGCGACGCAGCATGCCACAAGCCGGTGCCACACGGCGCGCGCGCATTGGCCGCGAACTTATCCAGTCAGATAAGGTTTCGCGCCGCATAGGACAGCAACACGCTACACGTCCTCCTCATATATTTTTGGCAGTCGATCGAGAGATCGCTAGCTTCTCAAGAGGGATAAGAGAGAAACACAGAGCAAGAAGATAAGAGAGAAGCAAAGCTTGAGATGGCGCAAACCATGGCGTCCATGACCGGCCTGTCGCAGGGCGTGCGTCTCCCAGGCCCGGCCGGCAGGCGCGCCAGCAGGTTCACCGTGAGGGCGTCGTCGGCGGAGGCCGAGGCCGCCGGCCGCCGCGCGGTCCTTGGCCTCATGGCCAGCGGAGTCGTCGGGAGCGCGTTCGCTCAGGTGGTGCACGCCGGCACCGTCGCGGCCATCAAGGTTGGCCCCCCGCCGCCGCTCTCCGGTGGACTCCGTGAGTGCCTCCAGCCGCTCGTACATCATCTATACTCGCTTTACACAATAATAATATAGTATAGCAAGGAGTAGAATTTTACGCCTGATCTGATGGATGATTTGGGTGTGTGTGTTCAGCCGGAACGGACAACTCGGACGAGGCAAGGGACTTCGACCTGCCCCTGAAGAACCGGTTCTACCTGCAGCCGCTGCCACCGGCGGAGGCGGCGGTGCGGGCCAAGGAGTCGGCCCAGGACATCCTCAACCTCAAGCCGCTCATCGACAAGAAGCAATGGCCGTACGTCATGAACGACCTCCGCCTCAGGGCCTCCTACCTGCGCTACGACCTCAAGACCGTCATCTCCTCCAAGACCACCAAGGAGGAGAAGAAGGACCTCAAGGACCTCACCGGCAAGCTCTTCGCCACCCTCGACGGGGTAAGAAACCTACCATCTCGCAATTTCAGCTATTACCTTATGTCTCTTCAGAAACATGGCCATCTTAATTCTTACTGCATCAAACCTGAACATTTTCTCAAGAAGAATTGCAGGACTAACAGGTGTGAGCTTCTCCATTTTGTTTGCAGCTTGACCATGCAGCCAAGATCAAGAGCCCCACCGAGGCCGAGAAGTACTACGGCGAGACCAAGACTGTTCTCGGCGATGTCCTCGCCAAGCTAGGCTAGATGGATCGGCATAATGGCCGTGTTGCTTTCAGGCCTTTTATGTTTGTTCATATTTGGAAGCCGGCAATGTAACTTCCCTGTTGATAATATGTCAACAAGCACTTAAGTATGATTCTATCTTGAGATTCAGTCATATGAAGAGTAAACATTAAGACAAACTGCGCACAAATCCGATGTAACAACGAATAGTAACTTGCAGTTAGAGCTCAACAGCCACGAGTACACAGTTTAGTCCAACCGAATAATTCATCCAAATCTTCTTTTGCTTTTTTAGTTATTAATATTAATTCCCAGTCAGTAAACACCGTGCCAAATTTTTTTTAGAGGGGTTTCCCCACGATTTTCATTAAGAAAACCATATAGAAGTTCATACAAGCATCAGCCTAGTCATCCGGGACATATCCCAAACTGCTTGATCAACGGGAACAGCAAAGACCAGCTAAACAGGCTTAAATCTAGAACCACAGCTACCAACATCTCCAAAAGAGGGCTACAAGTTCCAAACCAATGACAACAATGACGTGCCAAGTATTTGAGATCTAACAGAAATCAGCTACCCAATGCTACAACTCCAGCTGATAAGTGTTTATCCTGTCACGAATATATTATTTCGACATTTCAGTTGAATGGGCTAGAAAGACTTGAGAAGAGAACACCTCAATCCTGACACTTAAGAATTCAGTGCTTGTACAAAACTTCCACGAAATTAACAAGTCATTGCAACACCGAGATGTGCTCCGGGTAGATGGTAGCCTTGACAGTTAGGCCTAAGATACACTGCAGTGTTCTGAGAAAAAGGGGTCATTGACTTGCAAGATATTCTCCCCTGTTTATATGAAATGAAAACCTTCCATTGTTTTGTCAAGGACATCAATGTTTCTCTTCCTTTTTTATCTGCAAGAAAAGGAGTATCTCAGTTCTAACATAACTTTGGGCTAGAAAATGGCCCATCTGAAATTGATTTTTTAAGTTGTAGTCGTATGTGAATAAGTGCAACATGTAGTACTCCCTACGTTCACTTTTGTAAGTCGTTTCAGACAACTCAAAATGAGCTGTTTTGCACATTGTCTGAAATGTCTTCAAGGTCTTATAAAAGTGAACAGAGGGAGTATTTCTTATGATGGTCTTATGGAGAATCAGATAATTAGACCCAGGTACCCAATACAAAAAAATGCATGAAGGAAATGACATTTAACAATTCCTTGTAACACCTATACAGACAATTTTTTGCCCTTATGTGACTTGAAATCACAAGAGAAAGATGACATCAAGACAATGCATATCCTAAAAGTACTTCAGTCTGCCATGACAAGGAGAGGGTTCAAATGGACCAATAATGAGTCAAATATAAATAAATTAAATAAAACAACTGTGCATCCCTTTTCTAGTAACATATTTCAAACTTTCAGGTATAACAGAGTGGAACTGTGCAAGTCATTTATCACCGATATGCCAACAAAGTCTTCAATATCTAACAGTTAGCATATTTGGCGGATAAAGTAAAGTTCAACAAAGGGATGATGATTATTCCTGAAACAAAAGCTACAGAACCACATTTACCATTAACAATGGCACGCAGGTCCAAGCTAAGACTTCTCTGCGACATCAGACGCCTCTTCATTTGTATCCACGACTTCAGTTGTTTCGTCATCATCAGCTTTAGTTGCTTCTAGCTGACTCTGCTTTGCCACACCCAAAGCCCTTCTTGATTCGCTGCGGAACTCTCTCTTGGCCGATCGAATCTCCTCGAAACCCTGCTCTATCTTAGCCTCTTTCTCAGGAGGGAAGAAGCCAACTTCCATCCCAGCTAGCTCTGAATACATCTTCTCAATCTTTGCCTTCCAGGCTATTCCCATCTCAGTATCCATTTTGTTGTAAGGTGTCTTCAGGAGGTATTCATCGATCCCACCAGCTTTGTCAATGCACCGTAGTGCATGAGTGGTTACTTTGACTCTAATGTGTCGGTCATGAATATAACTGAAAAGACGTTTCTCCTGAACGTTTGGCTTCCAGTTTCGCCTTGACCTGAACAAAGAAAATGCTCCGTAAGCAAAAGGTGGTCAATATACAAAGATCGGAAGGAGGTAGGGAGATTCTTAAGAAAGGCTTGAGCCACATGGTAAAATAATTAGCAGGCAGTGTTTAAAATTTGCAAGCTGCCAGGATATTTCTGGGTTGTCTAGCACGTAATTAGACATCCAAAATAAATGGTAACACTATCACTTTTGTTAAAGATATCCAAGAATGCAGCTCCTAGTAGGCTAGTACTACTGTGATGCAGGGATGAAAACGGCGCAGAAACGGACGGAACTGGGTGCTATCATATTTGTTTTCATATTTTTTTTTGTAGAAGCGGAAACGAATACAGAAACCCCGAAAACGAATACGGAAACAGACACTGAGCGAATACAGAGCGGACACGGAAACAAAACAGTTTGCTGACCAGAACTTAAAACACCCTTGAATAATAGAGAAATATAGACGAAAAACAAACAAATTATGGAATTGTTAACATGTCTACAAAATAATATGGTTGTGTTAGCAACATAGGATAGTATTGTAGTAGTACATGACAATTCCGTATATGGTCAAGTTGAGTACGTGTTTGGCCCCCAAATGATCCATTCTGCTCATTCTACTCATTGTGTCATTGTGTGTTGTTTGGTAGTTGGGCTACAAAGCAGCCATAGGCCCATAGTAGAAACAGAAATTCCATATTGACGGAAACGGAAAGTTCCATTTCCACTTCTGTCCCACCAGAAAAACACCAATCCGTTTTTGTTTCCGTTTCCGCATAAAAAATTCCATTTCCATTTCCGTTTTGCAAATTTCCATTTCCGTTTTCATATTTCCTCTCCGTTTCCATTTTTCCTCTGGAAAAGCGGAAACTTTCCACTCCATTTTCATCCCTACTGTGATGCTACAGACAAGATGAAAAGCTGCAAACCAAAAGGTTACAAGGATGATCAGTCATCATTAGCAGCTTTGCACTGGCCAGAGGTCACGGAGTTCCTGAATTAATGTGGTTCGGTGCTTTAGTTCATCAACCAACTAAGAGTTAGTCCACATTACAACTGAATCAAGTAACACCATCAAGAAAAGTATCTGCTCACAGGAATCAGAGTCTGCGGAACATCTCTCAATCAGCTGCTCGTGGACAACAGACCTTTGGGGCCTTATCCTCTGCTGGGCAGGTCGCACTTCCGCCACCCCACCTGAGACGGTGGCTGACCATGTACAAGCACCCCCAAGCTAGAAGAGAGGATTTCAACTTCATGGTCATCCTGAATGTTTGGTCCATCTGGTGTGAACAGAACAGCAGGGTGTTCCAAGGGGTGAGCAAGGACATCCTGACAGTGCCCAATGGAATCAAGAAGGCCGAGTGGTGGCGATGGGCTTTTAAACTACCGGCTGCATGACTGCCATGAGTAGCTAGGGTGTTTATGTTATGTGTGTTGTCTGTCTATGACTTGGCGTTTGTTGCCCAACTAGCGTAACTATTTTGCTTCTCCTCTCAATGATAAGATGTGCAAACACTTGTTTGCAAGTTTTTCAACAAAATAAGTACCTGCTAGGAACAATTGGATTTATGTATCAAGAATAAGACGAGTGACTGGAATCGTTCTCCTACTCTTCTCCTTCCAAAAAACAGGTGTGCGAAGTTAATAACATTGGATCATGAAGGACCAAATGAATCGTGAGGCCACACTAACAGCTTAAAACGGTGTTGGGCCTGGTGGCAAGGTCGGGAAGGAGATAAATGAGGTTTTGCAAGATTATACGATTTCTGTTTCACACATTTTAAATATGACTGAACTTTGATTGAATTTGTCATTATCGCCACAGAACCAAATAGTGTGGCATAACGTAGCTGAAGCAAGTAAACAGCTTGCTAACTTCCCTGACCAGCTTTCTGAGAAATAACACTGATGAGTACGAAGGGGCTTCCTTTCTCTGTTTTCATGACCTAATAGTGTTCGGCATGGGGCATACGCCGCCTGCAGGTTTCCCTCGCTCTTGCCTGTGAGTGATGAGAGCTTCTATGACTGGTGGGACTCTAGGCTGCATCTCCAACTTCTCTGTGTAAAGGTGTGGCCTCGCTAGGCGTCCTTGTCAAATGGCATCTGTGGAAGCACAGGAACGCCTGTAATTTCGAAAACACGCGCCCCTCCTCTACTCTTCTTATCCAAACTATTCTGGAGGAGGCCAGAACCTGCGCTTTGGCTGGCGCCAAGGGATTGGCGGCTATCAACCCGTACGATCCACCATATTTGTTGCTTGGGGCTGAGCATACTCTCTATCCTTGATGCTCTTCGAGGAAAAAAAAGGCAGACAATTATATAACTCTAGTGTTACCATAATGCGTGCTGTTACATCATAAAAGCCTGCCTAATCTTCTAGACTCTTGACATTCCAATCATCAAAGAATTGCATGCATCTTGTTCTGATCAAGACTATCAAAGCCGGTACAAAATGGAGTGAATCCCAACAAGACCTGATTTGATCCTCAGCTCATCCAATTCTCAAGTCGGTGCTGATTAAGAAACTACATCAATTACAGAGCTGAACAATCTAATATATGATCAGGGACAGATCCAAGGGGGGGCGAGACCCCCCTGACGTATTTTCCCACCCTTGATAGCGATTACGTATCTAGCTAATCTAGCATCTCTCACGCCTACCCCCCGCCCCCTGTAACACTAATGCAACATAAAGGGTACTTGCCAGGCCACCGGCTATCCTATCTATATCAGATTCCAAATCAGATAGCAGGCCGAAAGGCCCAAGAAAACCCAAGCCGAAGCTCACCATCAGAAGAAAAAAGGCCATGGACATGGAAACCTAGCACAAGTCTCCTACCCCTAAACAAAGGCAGAAGTCACGCAATTAGCATCACAGTGAGATCGTTTGTTTATGTGCTGCTGGGATTCAACGCGACGACGTGCCTCCTCCTATCAACGAGGGCAGTTTCGATCCGGCCGATTCTGAGATCGCAGACCAGAAGGAGAAAGGGCCAGCCGGCCACACGGTCAACATGAGCGACAACGAGGCATAGAAGAATGTGAGTTTACTCAGGGCTGAATTTACTCCAAACATTAGATTAATTTGTGCCTTGAGAAATATACAAGTAGAACTGTAGAAACTACAGGCATCAAAACAATAATTGGGAAATTTCCGATTGTCCATTTGTGCTTGTGTGGACATGAAGATATAGATAGCTGGATCAATTCATAAAAAATTCAAACCAATTGGTCCAAAGCTCTCAGCCATGTGAATGAAATGCTAATGCAAATGTAACTTGTGTGCAAGCTATCCAAGAGAACAGTCCTATCAAAAATGTAATATTACTCCTTATTACTGAACAATTAGTACTACCTCTGTAAACTAATATAGATCACTACTTAATGATCTAAAACGTCTTATATTAGTTTACAGAGGGAGTAGGATTTAACTATCTACACCTTATGATTATTAGGGAATACAAGCGGTGGCCTCACTACACCTCTCCCTTTCGTCTCATAACCCCCTCAGCAGCATTTCCTCC